TTAAGATGTGACAGAGGCCAAAAACACCTGAAAACTATACAGTATATATAAATATATATATATATATACTGTATATATACTGTGTATATATATATATATATATATATATATATATATATATATATATATATATATATATATATATACTGTATATATGTAGAATCAAAATATGTAGTTTTATTGTATTACATATAGTTCCATTTCTTTTGGTTTGAATGAAAGATTGTTTATTGTTCAACTTACCACTAAAAACATGCACAATAGTTCTGGCATGTGCCTCCTGTACTGGCCCCGCTCCCATCTCTGTGTGGAGTGAGAGGACCAATGCCCAAAAATAATAACAATTGTAAACCGCTTTGTGACTCTGGTCTGTGAAAGGCGGTATATAAATAAAGATTACTTACTTACTTAACTTTTTATAGGGGGAAAAAACTTATATTTTTGCATATTTGACCTTGTAAGTAAGTAATGTTTATTTATATAGCGCATTTTACAGACCAAGGTACAGACCCAAAGGTACAGACCCAAAGCACTTTCCAATGTTCAGAGTCAGATATTGTTCCAATCCTTCCACACACGGTGATGACAGAAGCGAGTCCAGAACACACTGGACCATCAAAGCCTCTGACCCAACACCATCCATTCACTCTCTATTCACAGTCAGACCTATTGTGCATGTTTTTAGTGGTAGGGGAAACCGGAGCACCCGGAGGAAACCTACGCACACACGGGGAGAACATGCAAACTCCACTCAGAAAGACCCTGTTCCGACCGGGATTCGAACCCAGGAACTTCTTGCTGAGAGGAGAGAGTGCTAACCACTCAACCATCCGAGTGGATACAGCCATTGTAGTAATGGCTGTAGGAGTGGGCAGCATCTACTCTACTCTGCTCTACTCTACTCTGCTCTACTATCTACTCAAACCAGTGCCCGGGGAAATTCCTTGGTAACCATGGCTTCCAGCTGACCTCTGACTTCAGTGCCATCCAGTGTAGACGCGGTGTTGATAATTGAGCATATCATACCTAATTTTAAATCCCAAAGCCTGAAAACCAGTTTTAGAAAGTTGTCGGGCCCTGGACAAGTCTGGTAAACTAAAATGGCCCTTCTAATAAAAAAAATGGAACACCCCTGCTATAGAATCTACTGTATGGGATAGGTTTTTTTCTGCTGAGTGAGACCAGAACCTACACTACAATAGAGCTAAAACGTCAAAATATTTGCCATATAAAAAGCTGCATTGTTCCCCTTTAATTGATTTTTATTGTATGGATTGAAAAGTCTCACAAAGTTGAGTTTTGTGCAACAATGGCTACAGACTTATAACTCACCCTCTGTGTAAATAGTTCACAGACACAGAGACCTTTGGCCTGGAGCAGCAAACAAAGACTTCAAATGGGTCAAAGAATGGTTCATTATTCTCAAGTCTTGATATTATTACCCTTTGGACACGTACAGCTTGTTCCCTGGATGCGCTGGTGCAAATATTTACAGCTGTGTGACTGGGTGGGGCTGCAGAGACTTAAACTTTGGGCCTGGAAATATTTCTTGGGCTTTAGAAAATCAACAGGACAGATTATACTGGGCTTAGACTTCCCTTAGAGAAACATAGACCACAAGAAAAGTCCCCAAGTTACAATGCTGGGTCTGTCCAGGCTCCGGGCTCGGTCTGTGTGCGAGGTTCTCCCCTTTCTTTTAAGGCCAAGTCAGGTTTTTCTATTGAGATCAACTCTGGAGATGTTTGAAATCCTTGTGGGACTTGGTTGCGTACAACAGAAAACTGAGAGGACATTGTCTCTGTCTAAAAAAAACAAAAACAGTATTGTGGTAAAAACAAGAAGCAAGACGCCGAAAACTCAGGCTTTGGCATCTACACAGACACGGGGAGAACATGCAAACTCCACAGAGAGAGGCCTGGAGGTGTGATGGTACGGTCATGACAAGAGTTTTTCTTGCAGTAAAAAAGGCAAAGCAAGAAGTAGCCACAAACCAGAAAACATAACGGTCAAATGTTTAGCAATATTCTTAAAGATCAACCAATGGATCAGTAACAACTATGCTAATTAGCAGCGGAGCAGTAACAATTATGCTAATTAGCAGCGGATTAATAACAACTATGCTAATTAGCAGCTAGTCAGACAGGAATGTACATGACTATAGTGTTACTGATTTGAGCCAAGTATAACATGGATGCCTCTGTGATGAGAGAGAGCAGAGAGAGAGAGAGAGAGAGAGAGACTTGTGAGAGATCAGAAAGATACCAGAGAGAGAGAGAGACAAGAGCAAGAGAGACCAGAGGGAGAGAGGAGAGACAGCAGAGACAAAGACATGAGCAATAGAGAGAGACCAGAGAGAGAGAGACTACAGAGATAGAGAGACCAGAGAGAGAGTAACCAGAGAGAGAGAGAGACCAGAGAGAGAGAGACTACAGAGATAGAGAGACCAGATAGAGAGTAACCAGAGAGAGAGAGAGACCAGAGAGAGAGAGACTACAGAGATAGAGAGACCAGAGAGAGAGTAACCAGAGAGAGAGACCAGAGAGAGAGGGAGACCAGAGAGAGACTAGAGAGAGAGAGAGAGAGACCACAGAGAGAGACCAGAGAGAGACTAGAGAGAGAGAGAGAGAGACCACAGAGAGAGACCAGAGAGAGACTAGAGAGAGAGAGAGAGAGACCACAGAGAGAGACTAGAGAGAGACTAGAGAGAGACTAGAGAGACAGAGAGACTAGAGATAGAGAGACCAGAGCAAGAGAGACCAGAGAGAGACTAGAGAGACAGAGAGACTGGAGAGAGACTAGAGATAGAGATACCAGAGAGAGAGAGAGACCAGAGCAAGAGAGACCAGAGGGAGAGCAGGGAGAGAGGGAGAGACAGCAGAGATAATAATAATAATCGACACACCGCTCTCTGTGTCAAATAATTGCAAATAGAAACGAAGCAAAACATAAATCATATTTTATTTCCTCAAAAGAACTGCAACAAAAAACATAATAAAACGTTCAGGCTGCGATAAAGAAAGTAGAGCAGAAAGTCTCAGATCCTGTAACTTTACATCAGAGCCGCTCTTTTTCTACATCCACAGACGTCCCGCGACCCGGCAACGGATAAAGCGGAAGAAAATGGATGGATGGATGTTTAACTGGATATTGTCATTTTCAGAAAGTCAAAACAATATAAACAAAACTTAATGAAAGTCTTTTTAAATCGAAATCCTCTTTTTGTCCATGTTGGAGAGAAACCCAGAGAGACTTGGAACAACAACTCTTGGGTCTTCATCAAATAAACACATGTAAAGATTTTAAAGACCTCCCACGGTTTCTATAAGTGTTTGTGCAAATCTCAAACAAAGTCTGACGTGAAATGAACGAATGAAAGTAAAGGACTTGGACTCTGCAGAAAACATCAATAAGGCTGAAAAAATACGGCGGTTTCAATGTATGAGAGATAGATTTAAATTTGGCAAAAAGCAAGACCAAGAGGGAGACCAGAGAGACCAGAGAGAGACCAGAGAGAGACCAGAGAGAGACCAGAGAGAGACCAGAGAGAGACCAGAGAGAAACCAGAGGGAGACCAAAGAGAGACCAGAGAGAGACCAGAGAGAGACCAGAGAGAGAGCAGAGAGAGACCAGAGAGACCAGAGAGAGACAAGAGAGACCAGAGAGAGACCAGAGAGAGACCAGAGAGAGACCAAAGAGAGACCAGAGAGACCAGAGAGAGAGCAGAGAGAGAGCAGAGAGAGACCAGAGAGAGACCAGAGAGAGACCAGAGAGACCAGAGAGAGACCAGAGAGAGACCAGAGAGAGACCAGAGAGACCAGAGAGAGAGCAGAGAGAGACCAGAGAGAGACCAGAGAGAGACCAGAGAGACCAGAGAGAGACCAGAGAGAGACCAGAGAGAGACCAAAGAGAGACCAGAGAGACCAGAGAGAGAGCAGAGAGAGACCAGAGAGAGACCAGAGAGAGACCAGAGAGAGACCAGAGAGAGACCAGAGAGAGACAAGAGAGAGACCAGAGAGAGACCAGAGAGAGACCAGAGAGAGACCAGAGAGAGAGCAGAGAGAGACCAGAGAGAGACCAGAGAGAGACCAGAGAGACCAGAGAGAGACCAGAGAGAGACCAGAGAGAGACCAGAGAGAGACAAGAGAGAGACCAGAGAGAGACCAGAGAGAGACAAGAGGGAGACCAGAGAGAGACCAGAGAGAGACCAGAGAGAGACAAGAGAGAGAGACCAGAGAGAGACCAGAGAGAGACCAGAGAGAGACCAAAGAGAGACCAGAGAGACCAGAGAGAGAGCAGAGAGAGACAAGAGAGAGAGACCAGAGAGAGAGCAGAGAGAGACAAGAGGGAGACCAGAGAGAGACCAGAGAGAGGCAAGAGGGAGACCAGAGAGAGACCAGAGAGAGACCAGAGAGAGACAAGAGGGAGGCAAGAGAGACTAGAGAGAGAGAAGCCAGACAGTGAGACAAGAGAGAGACAAAAGAGATCTAAGAGAGACAAGAGAGAGACCAGAGAGAGAGACAAGAGAGAGACAAGAGAGAGACAAGAGAGAGACCAGAGAGAGAGACAAGAGAGAGACAAGAGAGAGACAAGAGAGAGACCAGAGAGAGACCAGAGAGAGACAAGAGAGAGACCAGAGAGAGACCAGAGAGAGACCAGAGAGAGACCAGAGAGAGACCAGAGAGAGACAAGAGAGAGACCAGAGAGAGACCAGAGAAAGAGACCAGAGAGAGACCAGAGAGAGACCAAAACCAGCACCAAATTATTTGCGCTCAGAGGAGTTTGCATGTTCGTTCTTTGTCTGTGAATGTATGTATCATGTACCACTAAAAAACACCACTAAATACACACACAGTACATCGCTCTCTCTCTCTGGGGCAGGACACTCTCACATCTCCGTGGGACTTTTCTGGCTAAGAAAAGGTCAATAATAATAATAATAATAATCCACACTATGTACTTTATTTATTTGATATTTTTCCATCACCCGCTGGAGCCAAAGCATGAGTCCATCTGTGCAACAAGAGTGCACATGTGCCCACGTCTGTCCTCCCTCTGCACGACTCCAGATCGTGCTGGAGGAGGTGGAGGCAGAGGAGGAGGAGGAAGAGGAGGAAGAGGAGGAGGAGGTGGCAGACAAGTGGGACAAGAACATGAGTGGATTTTCTGTATTGACTTTGCGCAGAGATGAAAGCATGTGGCCCAGTGAAAGACGTCATTCACTGCGGAATCATGCAGTACCCGTGTCAGCCACTGGGGGCCCGAGCCTTCTCTGCAGCTGCCTCCGCTCTCTGGGAGACATCAGGAACTCGGACTCGGGTCAGACCTTCAAAATCCACCTGTTCAAAACTACATTCACATCTAGCCAAAAGTGGTACTGCAGCCTCTCCCTCTCTCCCTGACTCAGGTTGCCAGATATGCAGACGAATCCAGCTGGGACCATAACAGCTGAATAGACAAGAGTTTTGTCAACAACAAATCTATAACCAACACCTTTTTCACAAAGATAGAAATCCTGGTTTTATTCCTTGTTTTGTCGTTAATGATTTGAGAATCATAACGAGACCTTTTTTAGTTCTGCGCCACATGCTACTTTACCAGTGAGATTAGCTCCACGCGGTGAGTTCTGGCGCCCGGATCACAGACTTTCTGATTGGTGAAACGGTGGAGGGCGGGACATCGAAATGAAAACAATAACAAGATTTAGGGGCTGGAAAAGTAATTTAGAAATTCAAATATCTCTGAACGACTTATCAGTTAAAGAAGGATTGGAAAAGAGCAGTTTATTATTATGACAGATTAGGGCCCTTTAATGATGACAGATTAGGGCCCTTTAATGATGACAGATTAGGGCCCTTTAATGATGACAGATTAGAGCCCTTTAATGATGACAGATTAGGGCCCTTTAACGATGACAGATTAGGGCCCTTTAATGATGACAGATTAGGGCCCTTTAATGATGACAGATTAGGGCCTTTTAATAATGATGACTTGACATTAAAATCTTACGTATCGCTACTTTAAAACCTCAAAGCATTAAAACTATGTGTTCATACTTTGGTAAATGATCAACCTTCTTCCCCTTAATCCATTTCTGGGTCGGAAGGGTGGCAGTCAGACCTCCACCCAATCCACAGAGCACCGGCCCCTCACTGACCTTTCTGAAGGAGGATGGCTGCTCTGTTTGTGAGAGTCTCGATTTGTCATTGGGGTCTTCTGGCAAAGTGAGGTTAAGTGTCTTGCCCAAGGACACAACAACAGCAGACATCAATGGGAGTCGGTGGAGAAGGTCTCATGGTGGGCTCGAACCCACAGCCTTCAGACTCAAAGGCCAACGCTCTACAAACTGAGCCACTGTCGCCGGGAAAGGTCAGACTTAGATGAAATAAACTGCTTTTGTGAGACATCTCTGGAGTCTCTAAAATGGGGGAGGAGCCTAATAATAGTGTAAGTGGCTTTTTAACTGTCAACACACATAGTTAGTTATATGTAATTACTGCGTCTCACTCGTGCTAATTGTGTACAGTCCAATTCCTCTGTCAACTCCAACAAATCAAACACATGTTTTCACTCCGCGCCAGAACAAGTGTGTTTTATCCAAATATGTGAGTTTCATTCAATTTCATTCAAAATTGTGAATCTACAAAACAACATTTGCGTTCAATTTTTCACACTGTGGATTGGACTAAAGAAATAGTAGCACTAAAGGTCACCCATTTTGTTAGTCGTTTTTTGACTCTTTGAGCTGATTGGCTGAGAGAGGAGACGAACTACACCTGTGACATGTGGATGTTGTTCTGAGAGTGGACCTAGATGGATGAGTTTGTTTGGGTTTAATGTCTATGTAATTATTTGTATCCTGTTTATTTGGCTCTGTCCAGGCTAATGCTAACAAACAAACATCTCTGGATCGTGGCTCACAAACTCACACCCATTCACCTTCAAGAGGTAGGAGAGAACGGAGCACGGGGAGAACATGCAAACCTCTCTTCAGGCCCATCCGAAGGTGGAATCAAACCTAAAGAGAGAGGGACCAGAGAGAGAGAGACCAGAGAGAGAGAGACCAGAGAGAGAGAGGGACCAGAGAGTAAGGGACAAGAGAGAGAGAGGTACAAGAGAGAGAGACAAGAGAGAGAGAGATTAGAGAGAGAGATTAGAGGGAGACTAGAGAGAAAGACCAGAGAGAGAGGGACCAGAGAGTAAGGGACAAGAGAGAGAGGTACAAGAGAGAGAGACAAGAGAGAGAGAGATTAGAGAGAGAGATTAGAGGGAGACTAGAGAGAAAGACCAGAGAGAGAGGGACCAGAGAGTAAGGGACAAGAGAGAGAGGTACAAGAGAGAGAGACTAGAGAGAGAGATCAGAGAGAGACTAGATAGAGAGAGACCAGAGAGAGACTAGAGAGAGAGACCAGAGAGAGAGACTAGAGAGACCAGAGAGAGAGAGACTAGAGAGAGACCAGAGAGAGAGAGACTAGAGAGAGACCAGAGAGAGAGAGACTAGAGAGAGACCAGAGAGAGAGAGACTAGAGAGAGACCAGAGACTAGAGACCAGAGAGAGAGAGACTAGAGAGAGACTAGAGAGAGACCAGAGAGAGAATGACCAGAGAGAGAGAGACCAGAGACTAGAGAGAGACCAGAGAGAGAGAGACTAGAGAGAGACCAGAGAGAGAATGACCAGAGAGAGACCAATACCAGCACCACATTATTATAAACCTCTCCTCAGACAAAGCCCAGTCTCGCCGTAGCTTTAAAATAAACTGCAGATGCTTGAATTCTGAATAAATAACAAAAAACGACACAGACACAGGTTTGTAACAATAAACTATTTTTTGTTCGTATTTACATTTGTACCTAATGTGCAAATAAATCATTTAAAGTGTAAACTCTCAACGGAATACAAAATGATTTCTTACAGTCCCGACATGAGTCCATGGATCGGCCACACACGCACGCACACACACACACACACACACACACACACACACACACACACACACACACGCACACACACACACACACAGGAGGAGGACAGTGCGAGAGACAGAAGCAGACCCAGGATCAGGACACATGCTAACACAACAGCGGCCTGAGCCACAAAGGCTGGAGGTGCTTGTATAGCAGCAAGATTTGTCTGGAACAGAGAAGAGAGAGTGGCAGCCTGACACCGGACAGTGGTTTTCAACATGTGGGACTCGGACAGGTACTCACTCTGGGGTCACTGAGGGGTCTCACAGAAGCAGGTAGCATTCACGCTAACGAATAGAGGCAGGTGTTAATCACATCTACACAAAATGGCTTTTCTTTTACTTATTTTTCTATGTATTTGTGTCTATGTTATGCTGTTTTATTTTATTTTTACTGTTGTGCCTTTGCAGCTGGTGTTGTTGAAATGAGACAATTAATTATTATTGTTTTATAAGTAAGTAATCTTTATTCATTACCGCCTTTCACAGATCAGAGCCCCTGTATCTTATTGACCCCCAGGAAGCCACAAAATCAAACTAAAGTTATGTATTTGAAAAAAAATGACATTCCAGGTCAGCCACGTCCAACTGGATCTCGGAATTCTACAGGTTGGAATGGAAGCAGTCAAAACGACGGCCCCGGGAGTTCTTACAGTTTCAGAATTGGCGTCAGTGGTGTTGGATCCACAGAACTAGATTAAAGGAACACTGTAAAAATATCCTGATATCTTGGGACACATACACAAGATGTAGATGTCATTTATGATGTAATAATATGTACTGGCCCTTTAAGAGAATTGCTGCATGGACCAAAACAATGCCCAGGTTTCACCATCGTTAGCATTCCCTTCTATCTCACGATTACAGGATATTAAAGCTGCAAGATTTATATCGGACTTTGCAAATCATATGTTCTATTGTGGTATTTGTCTCATTGGGTACATTTCAGAATCCGGCTGGAGCTGCCGTTGTTTGTTCGGTTGCTATTTCAGTAAGTTCCCGTAAATGTGAATGCAACCTGCTCTGCGTCTGCTTTGAGCCACAGACTTTAAACTTTGTGGGTACACGGCAAAAAGTGATGAAAATAGAATCAAAAAAGGCAAAAATTTGGCAAAATGTGTCTTAATCCGAGCACATTCTGACTGCGTTAAAACAAGATTCTCCAACGGGACAACGTTTTTTTTCGTGGCTCAGTTGGTGGAGCATTGGCCTTTGAGCCTGAAGGTTGTGAGTTCGAGCCCACCATGAGACCTACTTCACGACTCCCACTGATGACTGCTGTCGTTGTGTCCTTGGGCAAGACACTTAACCCTACTTTTCCTGAAGCCCCCACTGAAAGATCTCAGCTCCTGTGGACTCAGCACCTGCAGGAGGATCAGTGAGGGGCTGGTGCTCTGTGGACTGGGTGAAGCTCTGACTGCCACCCCCGACCCAGAAATGGATTAAGGGGAAGAAAATGGATGGATGGAATGAGAAAATAAAGCAACAGTTCTTGAAATGTTTTGCAGAGTAGAATTTCAACACACTACAAATCCACATGACTCTATCTACACTGTAAAAAAAGATAACATATGAGGTAATAAATATTGAATCGAGTGGTTTTTATCTTATTTTGACACATTCTGAAGTCATTTAGTTTTATTTTAAGAACTGTCGCTTTTTTTCCTCATTCCAAATAGATTTCTTGTATATTCTTAAAACAAGATCATTTTGCTTTGTCCCGTTGAAGAGTCCTGTTTTTAGGCTCAGTCAGAAGGTGCTCAGATTAAGACACATTTTGCCAAATTTGAGCCCTTTTTGACATATTTTTCAGTGTATCTTTGGACTGAAACTTGGAGAGAACCGAGCAAGAGACCCCACCGTCAAAAGGATAGATGTTCTGGAACCCCGAAGGTGAGATCGAAGCGGACACGACTTTGCTATTGAACATTGATAATGCTTACACAACAAATTGCCAATATCCCCGTGCCTAGTTTTTAGTTTACAAAATCACACTGTGACAAATTTTTAGACAATTTACAAGACACAGCTGACCTACAGGAGTTACAGTACTGGTGCATAGACATAAAACTGGGATGGGTGTAGCCAAAAACCACCAAATTTATTGCTTTAATCTAATAGTAATCTCCCATTGAGACTTTTATGATTGCAAAACAACTACACGTTTTTTCCCCACAGATGTGTTGAAGATCTAAGCAGAGGTATTGCATCGGAACGGATTCCTTTCCAAGATGAATAAAAACACACGACTTTCCCTCGAAATGTGACAGAAGAATAACTTTTACTCTAAAACAAGTAAAAGACTAAATCGGATGAGGGAAAAAACAGAGGAGCACAGACAGGGCCAAAGCTTCTTGCTGTTCAAGTTCTGCTTCCACGGACGGAAAAGAATCGGGAAAAGTCTCTAACGAAGACAGGACACACGGAAACACGAGAAAACCAACGTCGGCTTGTGAAACGGGGCGTCGTGAGGAGTGGTCCGTCCTGGAGTCGTAACGTGGCCAGCCAGTTCAGAGTCAGCACAAAGCAGTGATATCAGACATGAATGAAGGAGAACACCGCAAAAATAACATAAAATATGAGGCAATAAACGCTTGAATCAGGTGTTTTTTATCTTCATTTGCGCACATTTTGACAATCTAAAAACAAGATTTGCCTTTGGGACAAGCAAAAATGTCTTGCTTTAAAACGGTACACGACAAATCAAGAAATATCTCCCTTGGCATGAGGCAAAAGTCGCAACAGCACTTAAAAGATCAAATGGCTTGTTCCATCGGCAAATCTTGTTTTAAGAAAGTCAAAATATACTCACATTAAGATAAGATTTAAGCATTCATTAACTTATATGTTGTCACTTTTTGCAGTGTATAGCGTATTTGTCAGGTTTCTGGTTTCAGTTGTGTGTCATTGTAAAAACTTGAGGCCATTTAAATGACTGGATCCTCAAAAACAGGGGTGCCCAAACTTTTTATAATCTTGAGGACTAGGCTTTTTGACCAACCAGACGGTCACACATGAGTGGAAAATGCTGTCAAATACTCTGTCAAATATTTTTAAGACTACAAAGCCTACATTGGCCTCCAGCCCAAGGTTTCTCACTTTTTTTCTCCCACTGGGTAGATATAATTGAGGTTTTGTGTAAACACTTATGGCCCGTGGTCATGCTGCTTCTATGGACCAATGGCTCCTTTGTGATTGGTTCTCACTTGTCGATCTAGTTCACTTTAACTGGACCAAATCTGCTTCATAAGTTTCATTATTAGTTGCTTCTGTTTCACTAGTGGGTACAATTTTACTTGTTTGGTGGTTTAAAATTCACAAATATAGACATTTTGCCCCAATTGAATGAGAATTGGTCCAGTTAAAGTGAACCAAAACCTGTGTGAATGTGTTCATAGTCTTTGAAGAGCACAGGGACCGGCCTCCTGCTGGGACTCTGAGGAGCACAGGGACTGGCCTCCTGCTGGGACTGAGGAGCACAGGGACTGGTCTCCTGCTGGGACTCTGAAGAGCACAGGGACTGGTCTCCTGCTGGGACTCTGAGGAGCACAGGGACTGGTCTCCTGCTGGGACTCTGAGGAGCACAGGGACTGACCTCCTGCTGGGACTCTGAGGAGCACAGGGACTGACCTCCTGCTGGTCCCAGAGTCAGGACTAAACATGGAGAGGCAGCCTTTCAGATTCATACCACTAAAATCTGGAGCAGTCTTCCTGAAAATGTGAGACAGGCTTTTGTTTAGATTATTCATGTTTTTGCCTTGTATAGGAACTGTGCTACACCAATAAACTCGCCTCGCCGCTCCAGCATCACGCCCTAAGGCCGCAGTTTGGACACCCCTGCTCTAAAACCAATGGATTTCCACACAGAGACACTGCGCTGAGACCTACACGTAACCACAGAGTAGAATCAGTCGGAATGTCTACTTTGCTGCACTCAAATGATACGTCTAAAAGGCGTCCTGTGGGTGGTCTCGTTACCGTGACGACTGCGAGGAGCCGTTTATAATCCCTCCCCAGAACTGGAATTTCAAACGGCTTTACGTCGAGATCTTACACGTATGCACTGCAAAAATGATCAAATATGAAGTAATAAACGCTGGAGTCTAGTGTTTTTCGATAGACTAATCTGAAACAAGATTCTCCAATGGGACAAAGTTATTTAGTCTGTTTTTGAAGAACTGTGGCTGTATTTTCTCATTTCAAGAGAGACATTTCTTGTGTCTTTTTAAAATACAATCATTTTGCTTTGTTCCATTGGTCAGTTTGGTTTCAAGGCAGTCAGAATGTGCTCAGATTAAGTTACATTTTACCAAATTTTAGCCATGTATGCCTAATTCTTCATCACTTTTTGCAGTGTAGTTGTCTGAAATACTTGTCTATTCTTTAGTTTTCAGCTTGACTTGACTTTCCGCTTCAGTTTCATGTACAGATCTACGCATGTACATGACGATCTTCATATGTTTTTGTCAAATTAGCAACACAATATCAACTAACATCGCAATGACCTCGCTAACTTACTATTGTCTGAAAACAGGTAAATAAGCTGTTTTTTTGCTCTTTTGTCTTCTAAGCCTTACTATTGTCTGCTATAGGAGAACCAAATATGTTTAAAAGAAACATGTTTGGGTATTTATTCCAGCTTCAAAATATTCCCTACTGGTTATAGCTGGAGCAGAAATTGCAAACTCCACTGCATCCTCCCCTTCTCCTTTCACATTCACCCTAAAGGAAACCGTAATACCTTAAAGGGTGTGGGTTGTATAAAAATGGCTTTGAAAAATCACTGGTTGGTGTAGACAGACAAATGGTCTCTGTGTGGAAATGACCCCATCAAACGTGACAGATATCAGCCTAAATGTGACTATGTTCTACGCATGGTCTAAACAAGAGCTGCACGATTTTAAAATAAGAAATATGTGCGATTTTTCAGGTGACGCAGGCTTCGATTTGCCCTTTCTGTTATGAAGCAAGGATAATGTTGACGGAGCGAGGTTGTATTAAAATAAATTTGCTGAAACGAAATGACAAGCGAGTTCTCACTTCAAACCCTGGACCTGCCTTTTCCATCGGCAGCTAAAACACTCAAATGAGGTCGAGAAACACTACCTTACCCGGGCTCCTGTCAGCTTGTTGTGACATTAGCAGTGATCCTTGCATTTCTAAGCCCTGTTCAGAGCTCTAAACACAAGAATAGGCAGGTTTATATAATGTATAACTGTTTACAAAGTAACTAATCTGAGCTAAATAATTGCAGTCTTTGCGGATGACGAAGTTGGTGGCGGTTGGCAACGATAACTACAATTTTGATTTCGATCGTGCAGCCCTAGTCCAAACAGCATAAAAAAACGCTTTGTCTATTTGGTATGATCAAATGTGGTGGGCTTTGCTGTAGTTGTATCGTGGATGCAGGTCTGAGACTGACTGGCCAGGCTACAAGTGTTGGTGATGGCTATGCCGGCCTGTCCTTCTCTCTGCGCCTCAGCTCCTCTCTGTAGCAGTAGGAGCAGAAGTTGTCAGTCTCGGGCCGTCCGTAGAAGGAGCAGTTCTCGCGTTTACAGCGGCGTTGTTGAAAGCAGTACAGCGGGCTTCCGACGGTGGTGGGCCGCGCCTTCGCTTTGTCCTGGTTGAGCCACGTGTGCGAGGTGTTGTCCTCGTCGGCGAACTCCAGACAGTCCTGAATGTCTCCCGCGTCGAAGCCGTTGGTGTAGGTGTGTGACAAACCGTAGGACAGCTTCTCCAGGGGGTTAACAGTGCGGACCCCCGACAAGCGTGCGGGGCTGTAGCTTTGGGATGACAGAGAGCGGTTTTGCTGCGGGTAAGTGGCGCAGGTTTTTAGCGTCCCCACCAGCGGCTTGTAGGCCTCCTCATGGTGGAAGAGGGATGACTGAAGGTTGACATCTTGTAGGTGGATGACGCTATGCCTTTGGATGGGCGGCGTATGGCTATAATGCGCCGACACTGGGATGGGCCCTTGTTTTCTCGAACCCATAACGGGCGAAGAGTACGGGGCTGGGTGCGTGACGTGGTGCGGAAATGTGGGCGGGGTTAGCGGAGGGACGGACACCAGGGACGAAAGCGTGGGACTGTTCCTTCCCTGGGATTTGAGCGCGATTTGCGGAGGCTGCGGAGTGAAGGCGTGATGCGGCAGAACCGGAGAGCAACTTTCCGGAGGTGAACTGTCCGAGCGCTCTCTCTGGAAGACGTTCTCGTGCTCGACTTTCTTGGCAGCGTTTTCGTTAGCCAGCGGGGGCTTTCTCTCCGCCTCCTTTCGCTTCTGGTCCTGCTCCTGGCTGAAGCGTTCTTGGGCGTTGCTAAGGTAGTAGCTGATCATCTCTTCGTGGAACTGGTGGCGGTGGCTGGTCAGGAGGAGCGCGGCGAAGATGAACTTGCGCTCTCCTTGCATGGCGGCCCGCAGGATGTTCAGACTCAGCTTGACGTCCGTGCTGTACTTCCAGTTGTCCAGGCTCTTATCGCCGGAGCTCCGACCTGAACTGTCCTGTCTGTCCGTGGAGGAGGAGGTCGAGGGACGGTCCGTGGGGGAGGGACTCGTAGCCTTTTCAGACGACGTGGAGCTAGCAGAATGACCGGACTCTTCTTTGCTTCCTTTACTCGACTTTGACTCTTTCTTCTTGGACGTCTTCTCTGCTCCGTTGTCACTGTTGCGACCTGAGGCTAAACTGGATTTGTTCATTTTGCCATGCACAAGCCCGCCCAGTCCTCCCATGTTTTTCTTGAGCTTGATCCCCAACGTTTTGCTGAAGCTGCCCAGTTTGTTGGCCACAGAGTCCGAGCGGCTCTTGTCTTTGTCCTTGCGCTGCTGCTTGTCCTTCTCTTTGGTGGGTTTGACCATGTTGATGTTGGAGTTGCTGCCCACAGACTCTCGGTCGGACTCCATGGACTCGGCCAGAGACTGGACGTCCTCACCTGCAGAGGCGGTGGGGGACTCCGGCTGAGCCAAAGGAGCCTGAGAAACACAAACAAGACTTAAAGACCTTATGACAGGTTTGATTTATTTAGAAATACAGTTTTAATACCATTTTATATTAGAAGAGAACTACTAAAGGTTTCAAAATCAGTTGTTGTTTTTTTTGTATGATCCCGCCAAATCGAAATAACCCCATAGCAACGCCCTTAGAGACGAAAAAACTTCACAGCCCTTGGTGACGTCAGAGTGGGTACGTTTCAACGCTGTAAGTTGTTTACAATTTGGTATTCGTTCTTTTTTCGCGGATATTCAAG